GGAATGAGGATGCATCCATCGACAACACACCGTTCACCGACTCTGTATTTGTCACATTCCTCATTAATGAGTCTCCTCAAAGCCACAGAGGGGCTCACGCGCTCAATGACTGGTACTCTTAAAGAAGAAGAAGCCATTATCGAGGAGTTGAAGGAAGAAGGTGGATGAGGAGTGAAAAGTTGCAGACAAGATCAGTAAGGGTGAGAAGGTAAATTTTGGGCACGTGAATAGATAAAGTGCGAAAAAAAGGGTTTTAAACCTTTTCGTCCAAAAAAATTACCAAGTCGACCCAATGGGTCAAGTAGACCCAAAATAAATTATTTGATGTTTTTGACTCATGTGGAATTAAAACTTTAGTTTTAAAACCCAAGGGGTCTCAAAACCATAACATAGAGAGTCTCTTTTGTTATCCCAGATAGACAACCCAAGAGAGGGGGTGAATTGAGTTATTAAAAATTTTACAATATTAAAATTAACACAATATTCAGAATTTTAATAAATAAACAAAAATAGAATAATAATTATCAATATAAAAGTAAGATAGATAGGGAGAGAAAATCAAACACTGCGATTTATAGTGTTTCGGCACGCCAGACTTACGTCCACTCCCCAAGGAACTTCCTTGAGAATTTCTTTACTATCAATTGAATAAATACACCACCAAGCTTGTGGATTTGGCAGATGACTTACTCTTATCTATTGAGCCTCACTCAATAATAAATGCCTTGCCCTTACAAAATCTCTCACAAAAATAAGGAATAAGAATAAGTGGTACTTAAACCCTCTTTTACAATAATTCTCTCACAAAGAGTAGATATGAAAGTGTAAGAACAAAGGATAGACTTAGATCTGAAAGTGAAAGAGCAGAATATAATGTACTCAGAATTTTGGAGCTTAAGAAAATTTTCTCTTCAAGTTCTTGATTTTTCTCCACACACAATACTTCTATTTATACACAAAAATATACCCGTTGGATGCTCCTTGCTGACGTCATGGCTTACATAAGCACACTCCTGGCATCATGGCTTACATAAGCATGCTCCTGATGTCATGGCTTACATAAGCATGCTCCTGATGTCATGGCTTACATAAGCACGCTCCTTGATTTTAAATAGTCAGCAAATGTTAATAATTAAAAAGATAAAAGTAAGACTAATTTTTTCTTTTCCTTTTTTGTTTTTTCAAACATGGAGCCATCGTTTTTGTAGACAATTTAATACAAAGTTCACAACTTTCAAACAAACAAATGATTTGCTCCATCTTGTTTATAATATATATATATACACATATATATAACTCCATCTTTTTCTTCTTGTAAAACAAAACACAAAACATGCAGCGGATAAAGTGTTTAGATCATACCTCATTTGATCTAAAACCTCGTGGATAAATCACGTGCTTCCATACTCAATCAATCAATTCCAGCAGTGGGGTGATATTACAATGGTGAATATCACCCACACAAACCACAGTGCAAATGGACTTTATTTACAAATAATATTTTAGACATCATCAAAATTAAATAATATGATTAACAATCTCCCCCTTTTTGATGATGGCAATATTTATATGGATTTGCCACAAAATAAAATTTACAAAATATTTGATAACTCAGCAACATACTGCAACATATAATTTTCAAAAGCAAAATCATATTTTTTCTTCCCCTTTGACATCATCAAAATAAAAGATGAAGAGATGAAACAAACACATTTGATAAAATAATCTGAGCGGCCAAAAAATAAAATAATTGGCCTTCTGTCTTGTCGGAATCATTGTGGGGATTTTGGAGCATCTTGAGCGCAGAAGATATTGACAAACAAAAGATTTGAGCAGATATGTATCGAGTAATAGATCGATGGAGTGTATAAAAAGTGACACAGATCATAGGCAAAGATACCAAATCATCAAGTGTTGGAGAGAAAAATTTGTTTTAGCTTCTTGAGTAATCATGTCATTCCTTACCTTATCTATCAATGAGTCGGACCTACATGAGGTGCCTGTAATGCAGGCAAATGAGAGAGTACCAGTGGTGCAGGCACATGCTATGCCTGTAAATGAGGGTTCTAGTGTTATTGGTAATCGAAATGATATCGACGCTATTAATAACACTATGGCTCTTAGTACACAGGCCATGACTGCAGTTTCTAATATGGCGTGACGATTATAAGCAAGAGCACAAGAAAATCAACAATGGAGAGATGGGGTGTGCTTGTTAAAACAACAACTGGTTAATATGTGTAAGGAGAAGAAAAAGCTAAAAAGGAAAAATGCACAGTTGGAGAATGTGGTGCAATATTACGCAACGGTTATAATGCCGAGACTCATAGAAGTCGAAAATAGTGAGAAACATGTAAAAGAGGCTCATGAAAAATTGTTGAGAGAAGTGAAACGGAAAAAATCCGTGAAACCTTCTGAAAATTTACATGTAATCGAGTAATATTTTCTTCTTCTGAAATAAAATTGCAAGCATTTCTTCCTTTTTATTTATTTATATTTTTTAAATTTTGCCTTTGCACAAAAATTGTTTGTTGGTGCAGATAAGGAGTATTGCAGATAAGGAAAAAAAATGTTTATATATACTCCCCCTAAAATTATGCACGTAATATACACACGCCCCCTTTTTTTTATATATATTTTTATAATAATTGTTGATCTCGAAATATATGAGTCTCCCCCTAAATTAATGCACTAAAAATTACATAAATTTGAAGAAACAAATCACCAATCTATAATACCAAGGGCCATTAAGATCCGGCCATAAACAACTACACCAAGTGCACTAGCATAAAAGGAGAAAATAAAAACAAAAACAATTTCTTCAGACAAAGTAGAAGCAATCATTATTAAATCCAAGAGAATTTGGAGCACATACAATAAGTAAAAAAATATAACACAGTGCAACAAGAATTTTAACATGTTGATCGGTGATAACCTTGATGATTGGAAGAAATAGAGAAGATTGGGTAGATCGGTGACAAATTTGTGTAGATCGGCAATGGATCTTGATGGATCAGTCACGGATCTTGATGGATCGGTGATGGAACTTGATGAATCGGTAAAGATGGTGATGCAGATTTCGGGTAGAGAAGTGATGGAGTTCGGAAGATTGGTGAGGGATGTTGGTGGATGGTGATAGTGATGAAAGTGATGGATGATTTTGTGGATGGTAGATGGTGGAGCTGGTTGTAGGCTATGGTGAGGGTGGAGATGGAGTCGGCTGAGGATATGAGGAAGAAGGAGAGAGCGAGAGAGCAAGAGAAAGAGAAAAATAGAGAGTAAAGGAGAGAGCGAGTGAGAGAGAGAAAATATATGTATATAATTTTATTATTATTATTAGAAACATTTTATTTAATTATTTATTATTATTAAATTATTATTTTTTTATTTATAATTTTTTTAATATAAACACTATATTGGAGTATTCATCATAGCAAGTTCAGTTCTAATATAACAAAATTGTTCTTCATTTAGAGGCTTGGTAAAAATGTCAGCTAATTGATGATTTGTAGGCACAAATTCGAGTTCAATGTCACCTTTGATTACATGATCTCTTAGAAAATGATGCCTTATTTCAATGTGTTTAGGGCGTGAGTGCTGAATAGGATTTTTTGAAAGGTTAATGGCACTTGTGTTGTCACATTTTATAGGAATCTGATCATAGTGAAGTCCAAAATCTTGAAATTGTTGTTTCATCCAAAGCAATTGTGCACAACATCCAGCGGCTGCAATGTATTCTGCTTCAGCAGTTGACAGAGCCACTGAGTTTGTTTTTTGCAAAATCAAGAAGTGAGTGAGTGTCCAAGAAAATGACAAGTGCCATTAGTGCTTTTTCGGTCAAGTCTATATCCCGCAAAGTCGACATCTGAGTAACCAAAAAGTTCAAAGGTGGTTCCCTTAGGATACCATAATCCCAAATTTAGAGTGCCAACAAGATATCTGAAAATGCATTTGATACGGTGATGTGTGACTCTTTCGGTGCGGATTGAAAATGTGCACACATACAAACACTAAACATTATGTCGGGCCTACTTGCAGTAAGATACAGTAAAGAACTAATCATATCTCGATATTTCTTTTCATCTACAGGTTTACCTTGCTCATCTTTGTCGATTTTATCGATGTGCTCATTGGAGTTGTTGCAGGCTTTGATGATTCCATTTCAAACCTTTTGAGTAGATCTTTGATATATTTTGTTTGATTTAAATGGATTCCATCAATAGTTTGTTTAATTTGTAGACCAATGAAGTAATTTAATTCCCCTATCATACTCATTTCAAACACACCCTGCATGTCTTTAGCAAACTCTTTGCACAAATTTTCATTAGTAGCACCAAAAATGATATTATCAACATAAATTTGAACAATTAGCATATCTTCTTTTTTGGTTTTTATAAAAAGTGTTGTATCAATTTTTCCTCTACAAAAACCTTTGTCAAGTAGAAAATTACTCAATCTTTCATACCATGCTCTAGGAGCTTGTTTCAAGCCATATAAAGCTTTTGAAAGTTTGAAAACATGATCCGGGTATTTATGATTTTCAAAACCGGGAGGTTGTTCAACATAGACTTCCTCCGAAATGTACCCATTTAAAAAAGCACTTTTAACATCCATTTGATATAATTTAAAATCTTTAAAACACGCAAAAACAGGTAACATTTTAATAGCTTCAAGTCTAGCAACTGGTGCAAAAGTTTCATCAAAATCAATTCCCTCTTCTTGATTATAGCATTGAGCTACTAGTCTAGCTTTATTTCTAGTAACAACTTCAGATTCGTCCATTTTATTTCGAAAAATCCATTTTGTACCAATAACGTGATGATCCTTAGGTCGAGGGGTCAAAAACCAAACTTCATTTCTTTCAAATTGATTTAATTCTTCCTGCATTGCTAAAATCTAGTTTTCATCATTTTCAGCTTCTAAAAATGATTTTGGTTCAATTTGTGAAACAAATGCTAAGTCACCACAAATATTTCTAATAGAGGAACGAGTTTTTATACCTTTCGCCGCATCACCTATGATGAGGTCTTTGGGGTGGCCATGAGCATACTTCCATTCTTTTGGTAGATTTGAGTCACTTTTTGGAAGAGCATATATTTCTTGAAGTTTCTCCATTCTCATTTCTTCTTCATGTTCGCGTAATGGATTTTCTTCATTTTCCTTTTTGTAAATGCTCTCTATGCTTGGTTGATTTTCTACAATATCATTACTTTCAAGATTCTTGGAAATAATATCGTTAGATTCATAAAAAACAACATGCATAGATTCTTCAACGAGTAGAGTTCTTTTATTGAATACTCTATAAGCTTTACTGGACATAGAATAACCAAGAAATATAGCTTCATCCGATTTAGAATCAAATTTTTCTAAGTTATCTTTATTTTTATTTAATACAAAGCATTTATAACCAAAAGCACGCAAGTGACTAATATTAGGTTTTCTACCTTTCCAAAGTTCATAAGGGGTTTTCTTAAGAATAGGTCTAATCATGGCATAGTTTATAACATAGCATGCAGTGTTAACAGCTTCCGCCCAAAAATATTTAGGCAAATTATTTTCACAAAGCATAGTACGGGCCATTTCTTTAAGAGTTCTATTTTTTCTTTCAACCACACCGTTTTGTTGAAGAGTCCTAGGGGCTGAGAAATTATGATATATTCCTAAGTCATCACAAAACATAATAAAATCATTTTTTGCAAATTCTCTACCATGGTCACTTCTAATGCTACAAATATTAAGATTTTTCTCATTTTGAATTCTTTTACAAAGTTTTGAGAAATTATAAAAAGCTTCATTTTTGTGTGCTAAAAATAATACCTATGTATATCTAGTATAATCATCAACACAAACAAGGGCATATGATTTTCCTCCTAAACTTAATGTTCTAGATGGTCTGAATAGATCAATATGCAAGAGTTGAAGCGGTCTAGTAGTTGAAACAATGTTTTTGGATTTAAAAGAAATTCTAGTTTGTTTTCCAAATTGACATGCATCACAAAGTTTATCTTTCTCAAAAACATTTTTTGGTAAACCTATGACTAACTCATTTTTTGAAAGTTTGAAAATTAAATCAAAATGAGCATATCCTAATCTTCCATGCCAAAGCCAACCATTATCATTTATAGCAGATAAACATTTAATGTTAAAATGCGAAGATAAATCATGTAAATCAAACACATATACATTCTCATGTCTATAACCTACAAATAACGTTTTGTTTTATAGGGTGTTTTCAATAGTGCAATGAGTTTTCTCAAAAATAACTCTATAACCTTTATTACATAATTGACTAATGCTAAGCAAGTTATGTTTTAAACCTTCAACAAATAAAACATTTTCAATAATAGGAGAGGGACTTTTACCAATACTTCCTACACCAATGATTTTACTCTTACTATTGTTGTCAAAAGTCACATATCCGCCATCCTTTGGTTGAAATGTGGCAAACATAGCTTTATTTCCAGTCATGTGCCTCGAACATGCACTGTCGAGATACCATCTATCGTTACTGGATTATTTCTTGAAACATACCTACAAAAAATTGATTTTTCTATTGGTACTCATTTTTTCTTGGGTCCATAAAAATTAGAATTTGATACTCTTGAACTGTCCTTAGGGACCCATATCTTTTTTATTTTAGCAAAATGATTTCTTTTAATAGAACATGAAGGTGAAATATGATCTTTTGTACCACAAAAATGACATGTGAGATGAGAGTGATTAGAAGATGTATACACAAAGCCATTTTTGACAGTTTTTACTTTTGAAAAAGGTTTATATCCAATTCCGGCTCTACCAAAAGTATGATTTTGATTTTTAAGAATTTTAGCTAAAGTTTCTTTGCCTTGAGTGAATTTTGAAATAGTATTTTTCAAGTCTTCAATATTTTCTTTCAAAATAATTTGCTCCTTTTTTAAAGACCCATTTTCTTTTTGCAATACAACTAAATGTTTTTCAGAAATTTAAGACTCTTTTCGAGTTAAAATCTCATTTTCCTTTTTCATTTTTATGGCTCCATTTTCTAAAACATCTATCTTGGAAGTCAATGATTCATTTTCTTTTGATAAACTTGAAATTACTTTCTTTTGACAATTACTTTTCAAACTAAGTTTCTTAAATTCAGCATGTAATTCATCAAAAGCTAATTGTAATTCATCAAATGCAAAGGATTCGTCATTTATCTCATTTTTGTTTCCAAGTGCCATTAAGCATAGGTTAGCAACCTCATTTTTGCAAATTTCGGTTTTTGTGTCGCTTTCATCACTATCTTCTCCCCATGCTGCAATCATAGCTTTCTTCTTGTTCTTCTTGAATTTTTTCTTAAGTTCTGGACATTCTGATTTGTAATGTCCAGGTTTGTTGCATTCGTAGCAGGTTACTTCAGATTTTTTGTGATTTTCTCCTCTTTGAAAATCCCTGTTGAAGTCTTTTCTAAAAAATTTCGTACGCCTTGTTTCTTTCTCACAAACCTTTGGAACTTTTTAGTGATGAATGCCATTTCCTCATCCTCATCTGAATCATCTTCCTTATCCTCTTGATGTTTCAAGGTGGATTTGAAGGTTATTCCTTTCTTCTTGTTGTTGTCCTCCACTTCCTTTCCTTCTTGCATTATGAGCTCATGAGTTAAGAGAGATCCAATTAAATCCTTGGCTTCGGTGATGGCAATGACTTTTGTCTCCTTACTTTTTGGCAATGACCTAAGTACTTTTCTTACAATTTCAGCATTAGTATATATTTTTTCAAGAGAAGTTAAACCATTAATAATATCAGTAAAGCGAGTAAACATTTGAGGAATAGTCTCATCAGGCTTCATTTTAAAGAGTTCATAATTATGGACTAGCAAACTGACTCTAGATTCTTTAACTTGTTCAGTTCCCTCACGAGTCACTATAAGCTTGTCCCAAATTTCTTTTGCGGTTTTACATGTGAAAATTCTGTTGAACTTGTTGGCATCTAAGGCGCAGTACAACATGTTTGTAGTTTTAACATTAATTTGGGCCATTCTAGTATCTGATTCATCCCACTCATCTTCAGGTTTTGGTACCCTAAGTCCATCTACGGTTTTGGTAGGATTTTTGGACCATTGCAAATAATTTTCCAGCATTCATAATCATTAGATTGAACATGTATGGTCATCTTAGTTTTTCAATAGCTAAAATTTGTGCCGCTAAATAGTGGTGGTCTATTGGATGCTTGTCCCTCGGGTAAAGAATAGCTAGGGGTTACCATGATTTACTCTAAGACGGTTAAGTCACACAAACTAGAATTTAGGCTCTAACACCAATTGTTATCCTAGATAGGCAACCCAAGAGAGGGGGTGAATTGGGTTATTAAAAATTTCACAATATTAAAATTAACACAATATTCAGAATTTTAATAAATAAACAAAAACAGAATAATAATTATCAATATAAAAGTAAGAGAGATAGGGAGAGAAAATCAAACATTGCGATTTATAGTGGTTCGGCATGCCAGACTTACGTCCACTCCCCAAGGAACCTCCTTGAGAATTTCTTTACTATCAATTGAATAAATACACCACCAAGCTTGTGGATTTGACAGATGACTTACTCTTATCTATTGAGCCTCACTCAACAATAAATGCCTTGCCCTTACAAAATCTCTTACAAAAATAAGGAATAAGAATAAGTGGTACTTAAACCATCTTTTACAATAATTCTCTCACAAAGAGTAGATATGAAAGTGTAAGAACAAAAGCTAGACTTAGATCTGAAAGTGAAAGAGAAGAATACAATTTGGAGTAGATATGAAAGTGTAAGAACAAAGGCTAGACTTAGATCTGAAAGTGAAAGAGCAGAATACAATGTACTCAGAATTTTGGAGCTTAAGAAAATTTTCTCTTCAAGTTCTTGATTTTTCTCCACACACAATACTTCTATTTATACACAAAAATATACCCGTTGGACGCTCCTTGTAGCGACCCTAATTTTTGTAGGTCATTATTTATTATTATTATGATTATTATTATCTTATTTTATTTTTGGCTTTATTAATTGTGTGGTCATATTAGAATTTAATGTGATATTTAATAAATTTAATGTGGTGATTAATTAATTTAATGTGTTATTTAATTATATATAATTAATTCAAATATTTATATATTTATAATTGTTATATAAAAAAAGAGGTGTTATATATATATACATTTAATCTTATATTTGTATTGATATATATTGTAATTATGTTGTATTATATAATAGTCATAGATTAGAATAGGAAATTAGGTTATTTAAACTTAGGTTGTTGTTATGTGGAGAATTTTCAACACAGCAGCCGCCGAGTGTGTGTGTGTGGTTGTAATCACACTCATGGATAAATGAAATTAAAATAAATTAGGAACCCATAGATAAATTCCTTATACTCCACCATGACTCCATGGATTGTTGTTTTATTTGAGTGAGAGTGTATAAAAAAAAAAGGTGAGAATTATGAGATTTATTTGAATGTCTTAAGCTTGGCATTGTTATGTTTATTATCATGAGTGAGATGTTGTGTATATGTATATTGTTGCCTCGTTCTCATGAGTAGACGGGTGCTTTGATTTACGCTCGTACGTATATGCTAACCATCCGGGGAGTGTGAGTCAAACTCGGGACGATATCCCCGTGCAAGTTTGGCTTCAGAGCGGTGTTAGGTATACGGGAGGCACATGGGATATATGTGTAGGCCGGAAGTGGAGGGCCAAAGTGGTGGAGTTAATGTACAAAGAATTTAATTATGAGATGATTATTATAGTTTGTATTGTATTGATTTGTATAGGTTGAAAAATAGTGAACAACCTCGATAAATTATGAAATTTGAGCAGAGACATGTATACGTGATTCTAGACAACTTTTGTGTTTTAACTTTTTATTGATTAGAACTTATAATCGGATGATCTTGGTTATTATAGTTTTGATTCATTTTAGCAATGCAAATTTTAGAGGCTGTTTTAACCCACGAAACGAGCTCATTTTTATTGGTTTTGCATAAAATGAAGTAAAATATTATTCTGCACACTTTTCGTGTTTTGAACTTTTTTGAAAAATATCATCTTAGAGCAGTTTTTGTTTGTTTTTTTGCTTCAGATTTTTCGATTGAATTCTGTCTGGTTTTTTCTATCAAGTTTTTCTCTCAACCTGTTCAGTTTCTGTTAAATTCGTTTGCGTTGTCTTTTAAGAAATTTGATTCAGTACAACTTTCGTTCTTTGAGTTTTGGTCAATTCGACTTATTTAAGCATAAAACGGTACATTTTTATACTTCTTCAGTAATTTACTTATTATTAAATTATACTAATACTTTATTTTTTTGCAGGATGGTGGGTCTTACTAATTTTTTTTTTTTTTTTTTTTTTTTTTTTTGGGGGGGGCCCCCCCATTTTTTTTTTTTTTATTTTTATTTTGTTTATTTTATAATCAATTTATATTTCGTTGTGTACGGACAAGAAACTAAATGTCACCGTATCTCGGGAAACTACCCATTCGTCTCAGTGCGGTTGGAATTACTTGTCTTGTCCCGTAATAAGAATTAAATGTATTTCTATTTGTGTCTGGTGGACATGTGGGTGTTAAATCTTCTACTCATACCAGTATACCTGTATACTGACCCGCTTTGTCTCTTGGCAACTTGGGTGCGTTCTGTTTAAGCGCAGCTAAGCTTCCTTCGCAGGATTAGTTGAGACTATGGTGGTGACAAGAAATAAATATGATCGTAGGACATATCGTTTGGACTTTTTTTATTTTCTTGGGCTTAGGATTGATATTAGTTTATGTATTTATTATGTTTTTATGACTTTAATATTGGAATAATTTGGCATGGTTTGTAACCGTACTTTAATTAAATTGTTTTGACTAGTTGTTGCTACCTTAATGTTGAGGTATTGGTTAGTTATGAAATTATGGTGGATGGTTTGGTTGGCGTTTAGTTTTTTTTTTGTTTCACCCCTAGGGTTTCGATGATGGAATATTGATTGGGGTTTAGTCCAAATGCAATATTTAATTGTCCAAATTTTGGAGCGTGACACTCCTTGTTGACGTCATGGCTTACATAAGCACGCTCCTGACGTCATGGCTTACATAAGCACGCTCCTGATGTCATGGCTTACATAAGCACGCTCTTGATTTTAAATAGTCAGCAAATGTTAATTCTTTTTAAGCACGCTCCTTGATTTTAAATAGTCAGCAAATGTTAATAATTAAAAAGATAAAAGTAAGACTAATTTTTTCTTTTCTTTTTTTGTTTTTTCAAACATGGAGCCACCGTTTTTGTAGACAATTTAATATAAAGTTCACAACTTTCAAACAAACAAATGATTTTCTCCATCTTGTTTATAATATATATATATATAACTCCATCTTTTTCTTCTTGTTTGATTATAATATGATATAATCAATGTAGTGTAGTGTGATCTGATATAATCAATGTAGTGTAAAAAGTTTAATAGCGCACGTGATGTATTCTATTTATATTATATGCATTATATATATAATGTTCTAATCAAATATTTGCATACAAAAAAATTTCTTTAACAATATTTATGATGGATCTGAAAATATATGCCCTCTTTAAAATATTGTATATGTTGTAGAGATTTTAAACTAAATATATCCTACCACTACACATTTGGATATATCACTTTTGTCAAAATAAGACAACTTATTAATATCATATTTGTCAACCAATCAATCATTTTTGCCAAAATAATATAATTAATCAATTTTAATTTTGTCAAAAAGTGAATAGTGATCAGCTTAAATTTTCAAAAAGAGAATAGTAAAGTTTTCAAATATATTTTTATTTTAATAATTTTTAACAAATATATATATATTTTAAAAAGATAATATTTTGTGTCAAATAATATGTATATTAAAAAAATCCAAATTGTTACAAATAATATTTTAGACATCATCAAAATTAAATAATATGATTAACATCTTTCAAGAGTAAGTTTTGGGAGGGAAGTATATTTTAAATGCTCAGCTTGGCTTTGAAAACCTGTAGTTGGCTTTGAAGCCAGTTTCCTCCCAAGATCTTTGAAGCTTATGCCTTAGAAGACATTAGTTACAGCTTGTTCTCTTCAAAGGTTTTATAAGCATACTCCTAGGACATCTTCATAAGGTAATATCCTTCGAAGGAGTCTTTGGAATGCTTATCTTGTGTAAAGTTTTGGGTTCTGAAATAAGTAAGCACTACAAAACCAGTTCTTGGTCAAGTAGTGAAGAAACCCAAAAGACTTACCTTTACATGAAAGTTCATCCTTGAATGTTCTATCTAAGAGAGCTCTTCAAGAGTAAGCAGTGTAATTTCTAAGAAAAAAATTCCATACTTCGAAGCACTTAAACTTGGTTTCGAAGCAAGATTGGTGAGTTCAAAGCTATTATTTACACAGATTATATTAACCATACAATTGGAACATAACACCAGACCATAACAAATGAAATTTGAGAAGCCTAGTTTTACTGATAAGTAATATTTACATTTGGAAAACTACTTGGCTATGTTCTCAATTTCGTAAAAATAAAGAATGGACAAAGTCACAAGATCATGGGACTTTTGTCCAGCAAAATTCAATAAATACATATTCTTTTTCCAACCTATATCTAAATTTAGTTTATCTAATTGATGAGCCCTTAGTTGGAAAAAGAGTTGCTGGGCCTTCATTTCAAATTCTGTTTGTTTAAGTGCCTTCTCCATCTCGTTTATTTCTCCTTCTTCAGGTGCATCACCCATAGTGGCATCTTCCTCATACTCTGGATCTTGGTTTTTAAAGTCTTCATATTCTTCGAGAAGATTCTCTACTTCATATTGAATTTGAATGCGAGCAGTAGAAGTATTCCCCAACAACTTACTGGCAATAGAAGCATTTGTGTACTAGTTGAGTAAAAGAGGAAGTTGATCTAAGAAAGTATGAAGTTCAGCCTGGGCCACATGATTGAGGATGTGGCTTCGAGAAACAATATCACAAGACCATAATAAGTTCTTGTGAGAGATGTCATCTCGAAGGACTTCGAAGGATAAATGAGAGAAAGTGGCAAGCAGAGTTTGAGCTCTGTACTATTGGTAAGGAGTAGGAGGAACTGGAGCCTAGTAGGGAGCAAAATGCTAGCTCTCGAAAAGGGTGAGTTTCAGTTCCTCAATCCAGTTAGGATTAGGGGGTCAAGGGTGAAGCAGTTGGGTTCCCTCCAAATGAAGGTGGAAATTCAAGCTTGTTCACGCATTCTAGCCAATCAGAAGAGCAAAGTTTTACTTTTTTGGCTAAGAGTGCATGACTGATTCCCAAGGCTTCAGTAGGGTGTGGAGTCCTTCGTACTATTCTGGATGGCAAGGTAGAAGTATACCATGCCGAAAGTAGGTTGTCTTCAAGGCTGCGAAGACGGTCGAAGGGAATGTATGGATATACTACAGAACTGCGCATGGAGGGGTGAATTGCAGTGGGATCATCAAACTTAGGAAATTGATGGTGTATTCGTTCTCTTGTTTGAGGTTAAGTGGGTGTGGGCCAAGCGTCCCAACCAATACTTTTAGAAGATGATGAAGTAGCTTCATCCCATGCAGAAAGTTTTGGGGCAGAGGAGGAACTTCCAATATCCATTATTGCAAGTTCTTGGTCCAGAAAATTGTAATTAGTAGATTCTTGGTCCAAAGGTTGATAAGTTGAAAAAGCTTCCATAACTTGCATGAATGGGGGCGGATAAATGTGGCCAATAAATGCATGAAGATTCTTTCGAGGGTAATCATCATTGTTAAATGCCCCCTCGTATGCTTGATCAATGTAAGAAAAGGTTGGTTTGGCCATTAGAGATGTAACAATCTCTTTGTATTCGCAGAATATGAAGGGAATATTTAAAGCGCGGGAAATGATTTAATGAAGGTCAGTACTTCGTTTCTAAGAAGACGTTTATACTTCAGCCCAGTCCATGCATGTCCTAAAATGTGGGCAAAGTGCACTGGTCCACTAATATCACAAAGTATTGGGTATAATAGTGCGGAGGGTAATGTTGGCTACATATTTTGTATAAGCCAATTACAACTTAACACGTGACACGAGAAGGGCAATTCGGGGAGTTAATATAAGTTGCCAATCAAAGTTGGACACGTGGTAGTTCGTATTGGTAATAATGGATCTGTGTAACACTGGAATAGTCGAGAGACATAAGATGATGTGGCCTAACGGTTACTTATAAATTTAAATTCAAAATCAGGAGGGAAGCCTAATTGCAAGAGTGCCGTAGTGGGACTAACTGTAAGAGAGCATGTTCAGCAATCATGAGAGGATGCTTCGACGATTGGGAGCCTGCTTCGACGGTTCCCACTGGGAAGTATAAATAGCAAGGAAGGCCCCAAAATGAGGGACCCATACACAGATCCAAAAACCAGTTTATTGCTTCATATTTTCTTTACAGTTTTATATTTCCAGTTCTTTACATTTTCAGCACTTCAATTCCTAGGAGTAGTTTCTCAGTAGTTTGTTGCTGTGAACCTCGTCGAGGCTGGGTCATTGTAACTTCATTGTAAGTTTTCATTTTCTTAATGAAATTCGATTTCTAAGTTATATTTACCTGTTACTATTCATAATTTTCTCCTAAACAAGCTACCAATAAAATCCTCTTCATTGAGACTGAAAGAACTTCAACACAATTGCTTGATAATTGGTTGGCAATTATAAATTTTGTAAGGACTAATTGATCTTTGCTAACACGCCTAAATTTACACTATTAACCCTCGAAAGCCAAAAAAATCAACATTAGTTTACTGATATCTGGTTGTGTTTTCAGGCCAATTCTTGATGTGTTCCTCCAATGGGTTACAGTGATGGATAAAACAATCGCTCCAATAATGAACTCCATCTTCGTTATCAATATTTTTCTAATCGCTTGTGAACAAAACACAGCTTTTATCGCGAGCATTCTTCACAAACTGCGCTTTGTACTCACTTGGTGTTGTGCAGAAAAACTCATTCAACACATTCATTGCCTCATCCATTAACGTTCTTGAGACTCCATGGTTGATCACCTATTTATCATTCCACCATGTCCAATAACAATTAATACTATTGATTTAATCACATTGTTTAGTTTACTTTATAGTTAGGAGGTCCAAATTAGGAGGTCCTTTAGTTTACTTTATAGTTTTCTTTGTTTCGTGAGCATAGTTAGGAGGTCCAAATTGTACACTTTATAGTTTAAAGGGGACAAAGTGTCTATTTGTACATTTTTATATTTAGAGGGTCAAACTGATACTTCTTAACAGTTTAGGGGACTTTCGTGTGAAAAAACCCTATAGTGAACAAAATTAAAATATATTTTTGAGTAAAATCATTTTACATGAAAAATATTAGGCAAATTACACCGGTAGTCCCCATATTTTGGCTCTTGTATCATTTTGGTCTATGTAATTTCAATTGGCTCGATTTTGACTATGAATTAATGATTTTGTCTCAATTTGGTCCGATTCATTATAATTGTTAGTTTTTAGTATTTTTTTTTTAATGAAAAATATGCACATAAGTAGTATGTGTTTTATTTTAACCGACATGTGTTAAGTTTTTATAGACAAAATTATAAATTTATTAAACTCAATAAGTTAAACTCAACTAATTCATGACCGATTTCCTTTAAAAACTCTAATCGATATTATCAATTAGATGAAATTAACACAAAATATAAAATTTAGGATAAAAATCGAGGTAATTGAAATTATAAGGAAAAAAAAATGACACAAGGGGCAAAATGCATGGACTACTGATGTAATTTGCTAAGAAATATTTTACTGCAAAACAAGCATAATCTAAAAATAAAAATATAAATAACTAGGTGATATAAGAAAATGTAAGTATGAACCTGAAACAATCCGAATTCCTGGCATGCTTTTAAGATTTGCTGAACAACCTCAATGCGATCATCAGGATCGGCAATGGTTTGAAAATCAATGACTGGAATGTCTTTGCCAATAGGAACATTAACCATCCCAGGTCTTCTATCTGGTGGGAGTACATAGCTATCAGGCAAGGATTGAACAATTGGCCTGTTTGACAAAAGCACCTCCATTGTTTAAAAACTAAACAACAAAGTTTGATGATATAGAGACTTTAATTATTATGATGATGCTGGGATTAATATGGACATGGTTTACATTTATAGATGATTGCCTTGTACAGTATAACTGCACAATCAACCAACCACAAAGTACAAACTTCAGATGTAACTATTTTGGGAGACAAATAAAATAATCCCTATTCATTTTCCAAGATATTGACAAGTTTTTATTTGTGAGAATCACTTGGATTAGATTCCACAAATTCATCTGGAGAGTACACAAAATACAGTAGTTGAAGAATTGTTGTTCATTTTCTGCTGAAGAAGATTGAACAGGGTTCTAAGGAGTATATAGGATTGCTTTTTTATTTGTGTGTGTGTGTGTGTGTGTGTGGTTATATTTCACTTTGGAAGTACTATAAATTCACAAGCTGAACTAAATAAGTTAGAAATGATATTTTTCAGTTGATAAATTGTAATGGAGACCTTGGAATGAGGTGATGGGATATTGTGGTGGATTGGTTGAGTCTTTGTTTATTAATTGCACTGTGTATTTCTTACTCATGGGACTTATTAGGACTTATTAATAGATGTTCGTTAGTGGCCGACGATAAGTTATTCGAAACTGATTGAATATGGTCAGATGGTGTCTGTGGATCTGGAGCCATCGATTGGTGGGGGACTGTATGGGCGACTCCAAGCTCTATTCAGAACCTATTTCATTGGTGGCAAGGGACTTATATATGTTAGAATGAAATTCAGAGACATCTGGGAGACAATCCCTTCTACAATTTTTTGGACCATTTGGAGGGCAAGAGATTTGCTGTTGTTTGAGAAAATCCATCCTAGTTGGGACTCCATTCATGGACTTGTCAAGCTAAGAGTGGTCAGTTGGGTAAAGACAAGTTCCAAGCACAAGGATTTCTCCATCAACGAGTTCATTAATCACCTGCAGCAAATCACAAATGGACCAGACTGAGTTCTTGTTGAGTTTCTGGTGGAAAATCTTTTGTCAATTGTGCTTCCTCTGTTTTCTTTTGTACATGATTTGGTGTCTCCTGCCAACTTATTTGGGATGAGTCGAGGTGAGTATGATGCAACTACTCGCCTCCCTTTTGCTGTATTAATGTTTTTTTTTCTTACACTAATAACGGGATTTCTTTTTTGTTGATTAAAAACTAAAAAAAGTAGATTGTGAATTGGAGAGACAACCTACGCATAGTTTTATCTTACCATTTGATATACCAGTGTTAAAAAATAAAATAAAAATGATGCCATAGCTACAAATGCTGCTAAAACTTAAGGCGACACTTCACATTAAACGTCAATTATACTAACCCGTTTTATCTCCTCATTACAATTACTTGTTCTTGCAATCTAACTTTGATGCAATTGCCTTGGTTTTTATTATTGTATGCTTCACTTATTTTGTACATGCTTTGTTAGTTTATATCTATAAAATTTATAATAAAAAGAAAGCTTAAGACCTATTTATTGTAAATGTACCTCCCTTTCATTTGCAGTTTGAATTTAGGATTTTAACATCTCTTACAATTATTAAAATCCAGCCATGATATGATCTTTTTTGATAGGGACAAATACATGACCATTCCGTATTGAAACTAAATTGGAACCAAATGAAATTAAACAAAAAAATAAATAAATAAAAGAAATGGGACTTTTAACCGAGCCAGTAGTCGCCCCCTTCACCTCACACTTCCATGGCATTTTTTTCTTTAATTTTTTTTTTAATTTTATAAATTTAATGTTAAATCTGATCTTAATTTATTAATTTGTGGTTACTGATATTATTACTTTTGGTTATTTTTATGTGCAAATTGGTTTTGTAATATATTATTATAAGAATAATGTTATAATAATCTATTTATTTAAATTGAATATTTTTTATCTAATAATTTACATACATAATATTTAACCCCTTCTAGAATAAAATCTTGGTTGTCTAGATGCATGTGTAATCTACTTTTTATTTTTTATTTTTTTATCAACAAAAGAAAAGGTTTTATTGCTGACCACAATATATAAATACAAAGGCTACATCAATAACGAAAGGCGAGTAGAAAGATATCATAACAAAGCAAATATCCCAACTAAATTGACACCAAAATAGTAGTCTAATCATCTGCTAGCACAGTTGGTGAGAAACCAGCTGAACCACTAAGGCATGTGTAATTAAGAATTAATTGAAGTAACCATCAGCATTAGGAGTTAAACAAATAAAACATAAATGGGATTTGGGCCAATCCAAATCAAAGGTATCTCAAGGATATTTTTCTTATTTATTTATTTTGAGATGTAGAATTATTGCAGATTACATATGTTAGTATAATAGAAGATTGAAAGAGAGGGTAGGGGACCTTGAGACTCAAAGGTTTTTTTTTTTTTTTTTCCTTTCAAAACTTATTTATTTTGAGATGTAGAATTAATGTGGACTACATAGCTTAATAATAGAAGATTGATAGAGAGGGTAGGGGACCGTGTGACTCTTCAATCTCAATAATTTTGATTCTTTTATATAAGTTAATGACATTATATTTATGTACAATTTGTATAGGTGTCACGCTCCAAATTTATAAGATTCGAGCCATGAGAATAAAGACACAAAATATAGCAATAGATAAAGAGAAATGGATGAATTGAAAGAAATTTATGGACATCGAATATTTACATAATGGAAACCACACCCTCTGAATATGCAACACTCATTCTAGGATATTTTATCTATCACATACAATTTTTTTATCCAACAATTACATGATTTCATATATATAACAAGTGATGTTGCAATTACAAATTAAAACATTTAAATGTCTCCATGGGTCACAATAAATTAAATAGAGTCTAGCCCTTCACAGGTAAGGCATACAACCAGAACACCAAAAGCCCAAAAAGCCGAACAAAGGAGCAAATTGCTTACATCCACTTCTATGTCGCTTAGGGTCATGGTCCACAACAATACCTGAAAAATGATAAACATGATAGAATGAACCAAATGTCCAGTAGGAAAATCTTAAACTCAAGTAGTATGAATCAATTATGCACATGATCAAGAAGCAATATAATAGATGTGTTATCAAATTCCAAAAACTTGTTTGTATTTTATAATAACCATATCAACTTTCAAGGTGTAATGAAAAAATACAATTTTCATTTTAAAATAAACTTTCACAACTTAAAATTTATCAATCAAAACTAAAGTTTTTATTTCATTCCACAAACAATCTCTTAATCAGGGACGGACCTAAGATTCAATTTTCGGGGGGCCAAAAAAAAATATAAAGACAGATTTTAACAGTAAGACAAGTGAGGTTAAATTTAAAAGTACTGGATGTTCATGCAATTAACCCTTGTTATTTTTCATGCTATTAATTGGAAGCAGATAAACTCTTATTTTTGTTAAATATTTTATATTACAGTAATAATATGTGGTAGTATCATTTATCTTTGAGAATTTTTACATTGTTATAGCGAGAAATAATAACTGAGTTAGTGTAAGACAATGCTTGTCAATCTAATTTTTCATTTATAATTTTTTATTGGCTGAGACACCACATAAAAATTGTGTCACCATTACACTTAAGTATTCCACTCTATAAAATATTTTAGAACATAATATATTAGAGAGTTGTTATGGTGTGCATCCTTAGAAAGGTGCATACCATATACACGTTATCACAATATACATAATATAATCATAATTTTTTTTTACCAAAATAGTTCGTAACATTTTGCATCACAAATAATTCATAACATTTACACAATTTATAACATTATTACAATGACTCATAATTTTCATATTTACTTTAGAGGTGCACACCATAAATTAATTATAAATAAATTTATCACAAAATAACACTATAACTATTTTTAACTTTCATCACAAAAATTCATACATTTTTTATGATATGGGTGTACATGTAGCATTCTCCAATATATTATATAGATATTGTTATTATTGTATAATAAAGAACTATTAAAGAGAAAAGTTAAAAACTTGAGCATTAAATGGGAGGGGGGTCACATAAGAGAAGTTGCAAGTATGTTGAGCCAAATTTATACACAACAGCAGAATATTTTGAATAAAGCGTGGGGGCTAGGGCCCCTATATGTCTACACACAGTTCCGTCTCTGCTCTTAATGAATCATGCAGAATCCTTATGTCGTGTATTCGTCAATAGTCCATTTCAAGAACTACCTAATCACCTCACCTTACTGATTTCTAACCGAAAGGAAATTGATACCTATTCTGCAAAGGTTTTTGATCTTTCACCAAGGATTTCAAGCCAACTTAAACAATATCACAAACTATACACTACCTCGGATTCACCCTCTTCATAGAAAAACGTCCATTATTAATCGCAATACCACGAGTTTTTTTTTTTTCTTTCCCTTTTCACATCACATTTCTCAATTTTATTACCGTACATGACATTCCATTATCCATCCATTTCATTCTCAAAACAAATTCTCAATCATCTTTTCAATTTCAAAATAGGGCAAAATTCATTTTCGTCCTTTGTGGTTCAAGGATGGAGCATTTTACCCCCTTAAATACTTAATTTTAACTTTTTTTTTTTGATCAGCAAAAACAGAACTTTATTGATGGAGAACATACAAAGTATGAAACAAAACATCAATAAAGAAGAGGGTGCAAAAAGCATCACAGAGATACATCAAGATCCTAACCAAGTTGGCACCAAGATGCATACCAAATCATTTGCTAGCACACACTCCAAGCTCCAAGTTGGTGAGCAACCAACCAACAGAGCCAAAAAAAAAAAAAAAAAAAAAAAAAAAATCCAACCACACTGGAATTGTGAGAGGAAAAAAAAAAAAAAACCAGAAAACTACAATGACAGCCCCAGCAGCCAATGACAAAATCACCCCATGCAACTGTGGATTCACCCAGCAAGCAGCAGCAACAGCATTAACAGAACAGCAGCTCAGCATCATAAAAACCAACATTAAAAAAAACCAACACTGCAACCCTGCTGATGGAACCAGCCAAATAGCCACCCTTACTTTAATCAAGTCAGGTAGGTCCCCAACGTCATTAAATTCTTTAACTACTAGCACTCAAAAAACCACAGCAGCACCAATCTTTCGACAAAAAACCAGCAGCTCCAGAAAACCCAGCAGCAGCACCAATCTATCAACAAAACAGAGCTCCTTGATTATAACTTAAACACATAAAAATTAATTAAATCACCTATTATTTCTAAAACTTCTATTTATTTAACCTGATATAAATTCTTAGTTACACACAATTTCTATAGATATATACTTGAATTCCTAACTATAAGCCCAATATATATATATATATATATCTCTTCTATTATTATAAAGTGAAGGCTTGAGATGGTGATGACACAATATGATATTTTGTTTTTCAAAAATACCCTTCTACTCTATTGAAAAGGAAAAATTATATAGCGAGCTGAATGGGGCTTGAACCTATTGACTTCTAATTCGAGAAACAACATTTTTACTAATTGAACATCATACAACATATATATTTTCAAATCAAAATCAAAATCAAAATCAAAATTTATATTTTAGAGATTTAACAGCACACCCATTGCGTGGACACTCACTCACTATTATATGTATATATATATGTACTGGGTGATTAAGGTCGTCTGAATGATCTTGTCTTTCAGCTGCCGCAAATCAGAACTTCTTTGTAAGAAGTTTTCTTGGACTTTGCTGAACTATTGCAGGTGGCGGTTAGATGTGGGCCGTTTTCTTGTCCTGTTTTTGTTGTTGTTTTTTAGTTTGGATTGGTTCCTCGCCTATCCCTTGGCTGCATGCTTGCATATGATTCTGCTCACTATTCGGTGCTAGCCTAGTTGGGATTGGAGTGTTTGCTATGATACTTTTTGCACTAGCCATTGCTGTATTGATGTTTTTGTTTCAATGCTTGTTTTGTTCATTGAATTTTCATCAATAAAGCTCTTTCTTTTTCGCCGATTAAAAAAAAGGTCATTTGAAATTTTCGGTGTTGGAGTGTGTAGAAGGCAATGCTACACTTATTATATTGAGAATAAGATAGCTAGGGTTATAGGCTTTGGGGAAAAAGATGAGCATGAAGGTAAATTTGTTATTAAACATCATATTTTTACTTCGGACTCAATTTTTTTTTCCTTCATCATGTTCACTCTTGTTTTAGGTGCATCATGCATGTGACACATTTTGTCCATATAGATGAAATTATTAATGATAAGCAAGTAAGATAAACAATGGCCAAAACCACATGAGGGGTAATTGATTATGATTAAAAGACAAGATAAAGTGCTTCTAGGTTAAATCACAAGAGGTAAAAGTGAAGTTTGCCTTATTTATTTTAAATTAAGACCAATAACTTTTTTTGTTTTTGTTTTGTTTTGTTTTATTGGTGTAAATTAAACCAAGAACTTCATTCCCTAGCTAAGATATTGAACAAAAATATACATGACCTTGCTAGCAAGCTTAGCTAGGTTGTCCATTGATTCCCTTTAATCAAACCAAAAAGGCCATTGATTTCCACGACATTTTTGAAACAAGAACAATAACAACAACAACAACAACAACAACAAAAAAAAGCATACATTACCGCCCTCCATCACAAGTACTAGTACATATTTTCCCACACCCTATTTTACATGAATATAATACATATCAAACCAAGTTTGGCTGCACCCATTAATTGTGCCAGAGCATGCATGCATGCATCCATGCATGTATTTATTTTTCACTCACACATTAATACATAGATATATTGGATAGGAGTTATGTGGTGCGATGTTTTTTTGTATTTGCCACCACTCTGTGTCTTGGACTTGAAAACATACCATTACTGATCGGCTACAATACAATACAAACAAAGGGTCCACTTTACGTCAAGAATATCAAAACAAAATCTAGACTACTCATCAACTACATTAGTTTATGATAAAGTTAAAAAAAATATATTATCTTAAGTTCGAATATAATATAGAAAATAACAATAGTTGTTCTGATATTGGTGAATTAGAATTATAAGTTTAAAACAAATTTTACAAATAGATGCAAACATTCCAATTGGTGCACTAAATTATAAATAAAAAAATATTAGATTCTATTCCGAACTCATGCATCGTTTATGGAATATTATTTACAATAATTGTAACTATTGCACAAAGAAAATTTTCAAAATTAAAATTTATAAAAGCATAATTAAGATGACAATGTTAAAAAGAAAGTTTAAGTGGGGTTAATATACTATAAATTGATTAGAATTTGTTAGTAGGACTTGCGTACAATGATTAGTAATTTTACATCCTGGAAAACTAACAAATAAATAAATTTTAAATAAAAAATTGTACCACAATATTAAAACATTTTAAAAGCCTCAGTTGTTGCTTTAGAACTCAAAGTATCTTGAGTTGGTCTGGTCATTCTGTTCTATAGACAGTAATAAATTTACGTTATATGATGCATTGATATTAGTTTTTGTACAGTAAGGGTACATCAACATGAACTTTTTAAAAAGTAGATTATGCGTACGGTCTGATACATTCGTAAAAATTATTTATTTTTAATTTGGAGTAATACAAAAAATAGTTAAATTATGGGCAAATTACATATACCTCTCTCGAGGTTTAGCTAAATTACAGATACTCTTGAGGTTTCGAAAATTACAGATACCCCCCTGAGGTTTATATTTTCATAACAAATTGCCCCTTGAGATTTATATTTTCATAACAATTTGCCCCCTAATTTGTTATGCAAATAATACCTTCAAGAGAGTATCTGTAATTTCTCAAATCTTAAGGGGATATCTGTAATTTTGCTAAACCTCGAGGGGTATATGTAATTTGCCCTTAAATTATTTAGTTAGTTAAGCATACCTACAACCCACATTTTAATACAAAATACATGTATAAACCAAAGATAAGTGTGATTATATGACAGATTTACAAAACAAAAATTAATTTTAGAGTCATATTAAGTACCGGAAAAAGGTCCAGTGAAACTAGGCCAAGTTTGGCATTTCTCCAAAAAGATAAAAAGTCAAAAAATTACTCAAAAAATTAAAAAGTTATTACTATTCATAAATAAAAATATTAAAAAATTAATTTTCTACACAAAAGTACAACTCAGCAATCATGTATGTTCAGCGCTGTGCAGCGTTTGTTAAGAAAAATTGCACAGTTTGAGTACAATTTTCACAAACTGCTGTTCAGCCTGTAGGGGCCATCACGGGTTCCGTTTTGATAATCTGAACCGTCAATGTATAGAACTCGTCGAGTACTATATGACTGTAAAAAATCACAGTGATCGGATATCGATAACTACATGATCAAATCAGTTTTGTACAAAAAATGGATGGTGTTATAATTAACGATTGAAAAAAAATAAATATGATCAGATAGCTATCGATATCCGATCAATGTCATTTTTAAAAGGCATATAGTACTCGACGAGTTCTACACATTGAATAGTTCAGATTATCAAAATGGGACCCGTGATGGCCCTCACGGGCTGAACAAAACCGTCCAGTGCAATGCCCGAAAAGTAACCAATAATTTTTTACCATCAATTCGGCTGTGCAGATTATATGGCTGTACAACACACCTCTCTAATCTTCTCCTACACATTTCTTTATACAATTTTTTAATACATATTTTTTCATAAAAAGTCAAAAAGTTAACCCAAACATCCATATTGTTTTCCTCAAGTCTTTAGTCAAAAAAGACAAAAAATGCACTCATTTAAGACACCCCAAACAATTCAGTTCGGTATAAAAGAAAATACAATTCATAGTTTTACCCATGGTAAATAGCATATGCCTACAAGTTCAACTGAACATTTAGAGTAAGGAACAGAAATGGTACCTTGAATTGAACACCAGGGATGATAACAAATGCATGAGGAATGGGCTGGACACCGATCCATTGGCCATCCTTGCAGGTTTGAAGTCCAGGCACATCACACTGATGAAGAGCGGCGATGAGGTTGGGGTCAGAGTGTTCGGCATGTCCCAAGGTCAAACTTGGGTCTGGGCATGGAATGTGGTGATTCACTGACAATAGCTGTGTTTTGCTATGACCCCCTGCAAAATACCCTGGTTCTAATCCTAGTCCTTCACATAATAAATCCAAAATAGTCAGCAGAAACTTCCTCACTTCAACAGAATATGGCCCGATAACTTCTCTGAAAATTATACACAAACCAAAATTATATTGTAAGATTAGAATCGAATCAATTAAAAATGAGAGACTAAAACAACACAAGGCAAAGCAAGTGACTACTGACATAATTTGCCTTTTTTGTTTTAAAAAAAAAACCCATAATTCTAGCGATAATTATTGACAACGTTAATGAGGGGGATCACTTTAACACATTTATTGGGTGTTTGGGGTTTGCTTTTTTGTTGGCTTATTTTCATCCATATAGACTTTTTGTTTTTAACTTTTCAAAAAGTTTTAGGATTTGCTAATTAAGGAGACGAACCATAAAATTAAAAAAAAAAACCCCAAGGGGTTTGGTTAGTAGATAGAGAAAGCAATCAAAGGGCTTACCACCTAAGGAGTTGTAGGTTCAAAATCAACGAAGACCAAACATTCCAAGCCTTGAGGCCACTGGAGGTTACATGGTCGTTAATTTTAGGGTCTTGGATTTAGTAGTTGAGGTGCGCGTAAACTGACCCAAATACCCGATTATCAAAAATAAAAAAATGAAAAATACAAAAATTGAAATAGTCTAGAACAGACCAAAATAATGCCAAACTAGTGAAATATTTTTGGGTTTTTTTTTTTTTAAAACTTTTTTTAATGCGGTGAGAATGAGGTGGAGACCAAAATAATAAAAAAAGAAAAGAAAAAAAAGGGATACTTTAGAAATGGCCAAATGAAGAAAAGAGATGAGATTAGAGAATAGTTTACTGATATTTGGGTGGGTCTTCAGGCCAATTCTTGATGTGATCCTCTAGTGGATAACAGTGATGGATAAAACAGTCCCTCCAATAACGAATACCCTCTTCGTGATCATCATATATCAAATTGCTTGTGTACAGAACACAACTCTTATCCCTGGCATCTGTGATGAACTGTGCTTTGTATTCTGCAGGTGTCTTGGTGAAAAAATCAATTAACACACTCATCGCATCATCCATTAACTTTCCTGGAACTCCATGGTTCACCACCTATGTTCATTACCACCATATGCAATATTTATAATTAATATTTAGAAGTGCACGCGTAGATAAAATTAACAAAAATTTAGACCGAATGATCAAATTGTGTCTAAGGACTAAATTGTTTAAATTCAAATTATAGGAGACTAAAGTGAAATTGAGTCAAACTAAATGGGTGAAAAGTGTAATGGGCAAATTGCAAATCAGTTCAAAAACTAAAAAATAATTGCAAAATCCTAGAAAAGTTTATTACTTCAATTATTAGAGTTGATAAACTTCACCACTGATTTGCAATTATTTTTTGTTCCCTCCACTTAATTGCAGTTTCCCCAAGTGTAATTAACGGAGATCATTTATTACAACCATGTATGCAATTAACGGAGATCATTTATTACAACCATGTATACAATTGAGACAATCTCAATCTGGTTTGGATTACACGTCACTTTAACGTTATTGTGTCATATCGTTATCAACATGGTTTTATATATGTATGCTGGTTTTCATTAATGGAGTTTTTTTTTTTTCCTTTCCTGATAATAGAAAAAAAAAAAAACAAAAAAAACATGGTTTTATTATATATTGTATACATTTTTTAAAACCAGATTATCAAGAGTATTGGTATAAATTGCGGTTTAGCAGTATTCAAAGTATCAAACAATACATATTCAGAATCAAGTGTCATGATTTTTTTTTTTTAAGATATCATTTGTTGAAAAAAAAACTTTATATATGCCAGAGGAATCGATGGTGAACCAGGTCGTGAATGAGATATGAACCGACACATATCACGAATCAGTCAGGACAAATGATTTCCATTACTCCTAAACTCGATACATTGTTAAAAGCTGAGGTATGGAAAAGAAGTAGCTTAGTTAGTTGTGGAATTCAATAACTTGGTGTCATGAGAAAATGGAAGTATGAACCTGAAACAAACCGAATTCCTGGCATGCTTTTACAATTTGCTGAACAATCTCAGCGCGATCATCAGGATCGACAATGTTTTGAATATCAATGACTGGAATGGCTTGGCCAACGGGAGCATCATGTTGTTTGGGTCTTTTATCTGGTGGGAGTACATAGCAATCAGGCAAGGATTGAACATCTGATCGGGTTGACAAAAACACCTCCATTGTTAAAAAACTAAAGCAAGTTTGAGGATACAAAGACTTTAATGGTATGCTGTTGGGATTAACATGGATGTGGCATTTATAGATGATTGTATTGTATAGGACAACTACACAATTAACCGCACAAAAAGCACAAACTCCTGATGTAACCATTTTGTTTGGGAGACAAATAATATAATTCATATTCATTTTCCAAGATACCAACAAGTTTTTATTGGTAGGAATCACTTAGATTAGATTCCATAATTTCTCAATCTTATTGGACATCAGGATTCATCAGGAGAGCACTATCAGAATACAATATTTGAAGAAATGTTGTTCATCCAGCGCATGGCAGCAAGTGTTTTTTAACTACTTATCCATGGCTATGTCATGCAGTATTGTTGACAATACAAGTAATAAAGTTGCTCATCTGTCTAATAATTTAAGCTTTTATATAAGTTTGATGGTTGATAACTCAACATGGTATCAGAGCAGACAATAAATTCTTTATGATGTTTTTTGCAGAATTCAAGTTTGATATTCAATTAAGTAACTGTGGGGATATATTTTCTGAGTACCAACACGTGGCCAAGGTGATGCCGAGGTGTCAGCCGAGGTGTCACGTGTCCAGGTCATGACGCCGAGATTATCTCGGCAAGGTCGAGGTTATCTCCGAAGATATTGGAATCCGAGATAAGCGAATAAGGGACAAGAGTCCTAGAATGATGAAGGACTTAGCATGGATAAGGATAACACTCTTAGGGAGTTTATCTTTATCTTTTGGAAAGTCCAGGATAAGCACTGAGCAAGAGTACATTGAAGCTAGACTTCTAGTGGGACAAGGATTGAGCTAATTATAAAAGAGAGGCACCCCCATGGGTCTAAGCTACGCAATTTATATTCTGAACAGTGAGTTTAGCACTATTGATTATCTTTGAGAGATATACTGACTTGATCGTCGGAGTGCCCCCTGGTGGACGAACCACGCCGGAATCTTCTCTTTCTGTTGCAGGTCAGCTAGGTGTTATCTATTCTATCAGTGTTTTCCTACTGAATACTGAGTTGGGCAGTGTGATCGAAAAATTATTCACACATTTGGCGCCATCTGTGGGAAAAAAAGGAGAATAGATGGCCAGTGACGGACAGAAGGAAAAGATTGAGGACAACACTCCTGCTAGGAGTGACAGACCTATTGACCTTGACGTCGAAGGAGACAACTGCAACATAGAAACTCGTGACCCGAATCACAGCAAGAAAGACGTCGGCCAGGATGGCGACGTACCAAAGAAGCCAAATCGAAGTGGGTACTACAATGAGGATGACCTCTAGGTATGGAAGGATAGATGCCTGCGGAGGGATGAAGAGGTAAAAGAGATGGCGAACAAATTGGCAGACCTGCAATCGGTCGTCAATTTCATGATGCAAAACAACATCATGCAGCCACCATACCCGCTGCAAGACACGCCGATTCCAGCAACCAATACACAGAAGGGAGGACAGAAACCAATCCCAGAAATCCCCCAACACGCCAGGAGCAAAAAACACTCTCACCGACCTTCAAGGGAGATCGGACAAGGAGAGTCGAGGAGAGAAGAATCGCAGAGGACGCATTGCGCCAAGGAGGCAGACCCCAAAGAACATCGGCATGTTCAGGGGTAGGCACTTTGCTTCGACACAACTCATGGAGAAAAACCAAAAAGGACCCACCATGAAGCTAAGAGTAGTATGCCGAAAAGACTGAAGTCAGAAGATAGCCGAGCTCCTGGACGGAGCAAAGAAGACTTGAGAGATTACTTCAAGAGGAAGCAGCAGAATGACGATGTCGAGGTAACTTCCCCTGAAAAGCCGAGAACACCATTCTCGGTGGAGCTAGACAAATTTGAGGCTCTGAAGAGATTCAGTATGCCAAGGTTTCAAATATATGATAGTAAGTCGGACCTCAACTTTCATGTTGGATTATACCTGAATTCAATGGCATTGTACAGTGGGTACGAGCCATTGCTCTACAAAGTGTTCCCCTCATCTTTTGGGGAGATTGCATCAGATTGGTTCCACAAATTACCAAGAGAAGCGTGAAGACTTGGGAAGGCCTGGCCGAGATGTTTGTGGCCAGGTTCGTGACAAACAAACTGCAGCCATTAAGGGTGGACGCACTAATGGCTCTGAAGATCAGTAAGAATGAAGGCCTTAGGGCCTATGCAAAAAGGTACTATGAGGTGTTCAACCTAATACCAGAGTGTAATCAAGAGGTGGCGATCGTATCTTTCAAGAACGGCCTAAAAGACAACTGTCCACTACGAAAATCTTTGGCAAAGACATTGCCAAAAAGCATGGAAGAGCTCATGGCAAGGATCGAGAAGTACGCCAGAGCCGAAGAAGATACATCGGGGACCAAGGAGGTGTAGCACGCGCCCGCGAGGGGCCCTCGCTACAGTTCGGACTCGATTTGTGTCACGGTTCTTAGTCTGAACCAAAGAGTCCAAATCCGGCAAATCGTTTTGAGAAACAGTATTTTTGAAAAGAAGTGCCAAACATGGATGCTTTTCCAGATACAGAGTGGCCACTAAATATTTTATTTTGGGGAATTTAGGAAACCCTGACTCGGTGCCAAGGTCCACGTGTCCGTTATCACCAAAGTTGCCTCGGCTCGGGAACTTGGGTACGATTGGGAAGGTCAGCTATGAGCACCCCCTCTCGCCCGATCCGAAGATCGGCCTCTACTAACCATGATATCCGATTTTGAAAAACTTATGTGTTTCTTATTCCAGTTATTACCTAGAATTACTATGTTATGCGCACAGCAAATATATAGACTAGATTGCCTAATTTGAAATAAGCATTGCATATCCTTTGTCTTGAAAAACACTTTGGAATTTGCTACTTGCAAGTAGGCTAAAATACGGATTTCAACGAGTTTTTCCAACTCAGACAATCCAACCTTCACCCCAGCATTCAAACAGTTTATCACATAAGCATTAGCCACATGGTAAGCATGTTGTCATGATAGCATTCACACGCATGCGATATGCCAAGCATGAAAATACTTACATGGTACTCCGTGCCAAAACAAAGAACTCGTTAGCAATCAATGTATGATCAGTCCATGTTTAAATGTCTAATCAACGCATACGGAATGTCACTAGAGTAGGCTCGGCTATTCTATGAATGACATGTGAAAATGCACAAGTAGCATGTATTCAAGTTAGATTTGAAATACCAATGCAGTAGCGTGATGCGCCGAGCCCGGTGCATGCAAGACAAATGTATGAATGCACATGCATAGCATAAGGTATGCTAATTTAAACATGCCCTAATCTACTTCATAAGCAGGTAAATAAAAAGGAAAAAGAAGTGGGGATTGAGACATGCACAACACACGCACCCACACTTATTACAGATTCGCCCTTGCCCGGAGGGACAAAATAAATATTACAGATGATTAACTTACAAGCTAATTAAATATTACAGGCCATCTAATTAGCTAAGCAAATTAACTAATCTAGGAAAACAGATAAACCGCCTCGGGAAGAGAGCCCAATGCAATGCGTGCTCGGTCCCGCTCGGAAGTACACTGCCATGCGAAGCTGCCTCTACTTTCCTGCTATACTCCTCTGAAGACTGCCAAAGTCTCAGGATGTGCTTACTGGATGTTAGGGAGTGCCACCGGCTGAGGAATCATCACCGGCTGTGATTTGGTGTCCATCGGCACACAATAAATCCATCGGCCACCGATTTATTGCCGGTCGGCACTCTATGCAGTCGATCGGCAAGAAGTTCCTGCAGAATCGTAAAGAGCAGAGGACAGAACTTTGCATGGATGCAATTCAAGCCATATGTGCACCAATCATGTCCCTTATCATGTGAGTGAGTCAAAGGGACATGCTCCTTGGTTTCGGACCATCAATCGCGCATTTCCATGCGTGATGGCCCAAGGGACCAAGTGTGCACATTTTGATGTCAAATGCAATGCAAACCAACAAACCAAAGCCCAATTCCTATCACTAGATCAAGGAACAAGACATCATGCTAGATGCAATGCAACCTAGGCATGCAAGCTAAGGATGAACATGGGAAGCAAGATGTACATGCAAGCATGCAAACAAACATGCAAGGTAAGTATGAAACAAGATAGGATGGACTTAAACATGATTTAGGCAGCCTTAAATAGACCTAAAACAGTGGCAAAAATGCTGTGAAGTGAGGACTAAACACACATACACACATGCACATGTTAAAGGGCTAACACATCAAGCACAAAAAGGGGCAACTCTCAAGCACACTTGAAAGAGGCATAACATGGACTAATGGCATGCAAGGTAAGCGTACAAGCATTGTTAAAGGACTGAAATAACATGGCAAATGGTCCCAACCCACTAAATTAAGGCAAGGATGCATGCTATACATTCACACACTTAAGGCCAACAAGCAAAAAATGCAAAGGGCTATACTAAGCATGCCAAAGTCGACCCAAACACTAAGGACAGACCTCAAACATAGCAAATAAGCACAAAAGCTTCACAAAGCCGAGCCTAAAACATGTTAGAACAATGGTTTTACAACCTAAGGCATGTTAAGGCAACAAAGTGGCATTACAAGGCATTATGCTAAGCAAGCATGGTGTACCAAAACCAACTACAAAATGCTATTTCATGGAAGATAAGCATAATAACAACCAAGGCATGGTCAACATGAGGCTTAGCTAGGTGCTCATTAAAGAGGCAAACATGGCCCTTTTCAAGGACAATAAGGAGAGGGGTGGCCCTCCCTTTTTGGGACTTCAAGGCACCATCCTTACCACTGAAATCCCTCAAGATTTCAGTGGTGAGGAGGCCAAACACCAAAGTCCCGGAGCTCACACAAAATGCACAAAATGGAGCCTTACAAGGCTTAAGAGGGGTCAAACAACCTCAAACCACAAAATACTCTAAACAAACTATTTAGAGGCCTAAAAACAGAACTTTTTATATATACACTAAGCTCAAAAAACAGTTCTAAGATAGGCAAAAATAGTATGCAAGAATGGGGTAAAAAGGGGTAAATTGTTACCCTTGTTGACCTTCTTCACAAATGGTGGACC